AGTCGTTTGTGGCTGAGGTCCAACTCCACCAGCTGCCTCAACTCGAATACGGCGCACGGCACGGTGGAGAAGTGATTCCTGCGCAGCACTAGCACACGCAGGTTGTTGAGACTGGATGCCAGGCCTTCGGGTAGCTCTTGCAGGAGGTTGTTGCCCAGGTTCAGGGCCTCCACGTGGGACAGGTCCGCATCTTTGGGATAGGGGGGCAGCTGGCGCAGGTCGCTGCGCAGCTTCCTGGAGCGGAGGGGGGGGGCCCGCCCATAGGGGGGCAGCTGGCGCAGGTCGCTGCGCAGCTTCCTGGAGCGGAGGGCGGCGTCCCGCCACAGCTGGGCCGCCTTAACATTGTTCTCCAGGGGGGGCGGCCCGTCTCCTCGCCTTTGCTCACCCTCCCCCTCCGCCCAGTCCTTGTTTTTTTCATTCAGAGTCCTCATGGGTTGCCCCTCATCTCCCAAACCTCCGCGCGAGTAGCCTGCTGACGGGAAACGGGGACGCCTTGAGCGAGAAGGAGGCGGGGCTTCATGGCCGCCGTGGCGCTGATGTTTGGCGGCGGTCACGGAAGGAGAAAAAGAAAACGAAGAACGACGAAGCTGAGGGTCCGCGTCGGCGTCGACATGGCGGAGGGCGGCTGAGACGCGTTCCTACTAGGATACTCCTCCTCTTCTTCTCTTCCTCCGTCTCTCTTCCTGCTGCTGCGGAGAAAGTGAGGAAGTCGTCGTCATCATCCCCGCCCCGCCTACAGGAGGAGGAGACAAGGAAAGTCTACTTCCTGTTTACATATTTTGATTCGACATCATTCGCATTCTTGATTTAGTTTTGTCGTTTTTTTTAATTAATTTTGGTTCGTGACGTTGTCCTCGGCAACGTCACACATGACAACGATAACGAACCACGTCAACTGTCATCGACGTCTTGACGTGCAAAAAAAATCTAAGCCGCTACATAATTAAATACTGATTTCATACCATTATATTACTTCTTTTCCATTTCACTTCATCTTACATCACTTTTACTGATAATATCTACTTCATATTTGCGCATTTTAATTCTTTATTCCAATTCCACGTTTTTTGTTATTTCTCAGTACGTGACGTATACTTATCCTTGTGTCATTGACGTCTTTATGAACTTTGAACAAATTCTAATTGTGTGTCCGCTTTACGACTTCATGTTATCTCAAACTTTTCATTTGAATACGATTTTCACGACTTTTACTGAACGTAATTCGACCACTTGAATGAGGAGGCATGAAAAACGTTACACTATAACTTTATACCACGTCGAATGCAGTTATGTAATGTGCCACAGAAAACATACTGTGATTTACTGCATCCCTCTCGTGGTCTTCGCGTGTCATTGTCGATCAAAAGTAGGAAATGACGTCACCTGGGAGTCATTGTTGGTTTTTCAACAATTGGACGGATGTTCGGCTACCGTTTGAGCGTGGTGGCGGTGAGAAGATAGAGTGTGGAGTGTTGACCATACATTCGCGCAGCCAAGCTACCTCCAAATTAATCGCGACTACAACGCTTTCCGTCTCAGCTGGCCAAGACTATCAAAACACAGTTATTTTGAACGAAGCCCATGCCTGAGCGGTTTATATTTCTGTCAAACCTTGTGCAACAGTCTGAATCATTTCCTGAAGTGTGGAAACGCTCCCTTCTTTACTTGATACACGCTTCGACATAATTCGTTAACATCACTACTAATAACCTTGGAGTTCATTCAGAAGCAATAACTTCAAAAGTTTTATTTTCAACAAGTAAAAACAATTCTAAGGAAAATATAACAGTGGGCAATCTGGTGGACTTCCTCCAACACATTTAAAAGAGCTCGTCTTTATTATCAAAAAAGCTTTTCGTTCGCTTAAAACATTCAACATGTTTTATTTAAAAGACCACACAAATGTCACGTGATGACATCACCTAGCAGCGTTTTGTTTTTCTATTCATCTGTGTTTGTTCTTCATGGCGAAAAGCATGTCGGTGACCTCTGCCCTTCTGCTCAGGTTGCAGCCCCCTTCAGTAGTAAGGTCCCACATTCTCATATCTGGCATAGCTGGGCCACTCTGGGAGGATTCCGTGTCCGCAGGTGAGGCTGCCAAAGGCGTCCAAGTGAATGCCCAAGTCGAATTGGCTATCGCCGTCCCGGCGCCGCTTGTCCTTGGACCAGAGGATGCGGTAGTTGTGCCCGTGGTTGCTGTCCCAGTACTCCGCGCCGGCCACCTGGTAGCAGACGGCGAACTCCACGTGACGGTGGGGGGCCAGTAATCGAGGCAGGGCCAGGCTGAAGCAGAATGTGTCGCTGTACGCGCTCGGGTACGAGTCCTTGACGTAGGCGCACTCCACGTCCGAGTGGCTCTCCCAAGAGTCGAAGGTGACACGCAGCCGCACGCGCTTCTCGAAGGACAAGTTCTTGACCTTAACCGTCCCCGCCAGGGTCCGCTCCTTCAGCACGCAGTTCTCCAGGCACACGCACTTCCTGTCCAGATTCTGGCGGAAGAGGACGTAGTCGGACGCCGGCTGGGTAAAATCCAGGACCAGCTCGTCGTTGTCATCGTCCCGGTTGGATGGCATGAGGCGGACGCTGTGGGGAATGTGGATGGCGTCCTTGAACTGGGAGAAGACCTTGACCCTAGTGAGGGGCAGGCCTCGATGGTCCGCGAAAGTCACCTGCTTCTTGGTCTTCTTGGAGGTGTGCTCATGGCAGCTGGAGGCGGGGCTCCGGTCTTGGGGGCTTCTCCGGAAGGCAAAGTCCTCCTGTGACAGGAAGAGGGGCAGTGCCATGTCCGTCGGCATCTTGACAGCGCTTTGCCTAGCGCGTTAGCTTAGCATCACCCTGAGAAACAAACGGGGGGGGGGCAAAAAAAAAAAAACTTTTGTGTGACCTTTCACATTAACTGTGATGAGATAACTTCTTCTATTGCACAAGTGGGGACATTTGCATCATTTCAGCAGTGATAGTGGAGACAGGAATTCACCCCCCCCACACACACTCTAATGTTTTAAATTTAAAAATAATGTATGTATCAATTTAAAAATGACATGTATATACAGATACCTTTCAAATTTTCTTTGTAACCTGTTGTTTTATGCTCATAATATTGCTTTGATGCCATCTAGTGGCATCCTGCTGCTGAGGAACTATGTGGAAGTGACTTGAGAGCTTTTATCAGACAATCAATCACTTCTTTGTAGCATCTCGTGGCAATTATAAATCCATCATCTTTTTGTACGCATGAAATAATCTCTGCAGCACATTTGTGTGAAAGTGGGGCAAGTAACCAAGTACAAATAATTACTTACTGTACTCAAGTATATTTTTTCCAGATTGTCTGAACTTTAACTGATCTTTTTTTTTTTGGCGAGATTTTAGATTCTGTACTTTTCTATTTCAAGCAGTACGTCTCATTTTACTACAGTCTTTTTTGCAACATTCTTTTACATTTTTTTTTTTAACTGAGTGGCATGCAAGGGGGGAGGGGGGGCGGTTTGCGCATGTGTGTGGCATCTCACTGACAGGTTTGAGGGGGGAGGGGCACCACAGCCGTCACCCATGCGACTGTGGATGGAAGGCGACTGGAAATGCCTTTCCACAATAGCATGCCCCACCCCCAACCCCCCAAAAAGTTACCTGAACCAATACTATTGGTCATTAGCGAGTAGCATTAATTCCCCAAAAAACGATCGTCATGTTGTTTACATAGTTGGACAAAGTTAGGAAAGGGGACAGTCTGCAACACTTTGAAATCAGCTTCACATTGCTTAATAATTGAAAACTGGGATCAATTGTCACCAAAATTCTCAATGACTTAATGTCAGAAAGCTACGACCAATCGTCCCCCAAATTTATGTGCACATCTCTAGTCATGCCCACTTCAACCTCTGAAAATATAAAAATAATCACCCTAATATTTGGGAGTTTATTCATTGTTTTCCTCTCCGTATAAAAAGCTTCATGTCACTTGATGTCCTAAAACTGCAATCGATCTTCACCAAAATTGACATGGACAGCTGGACTTTGACAACTTCAACCGCTGCAAATATTAGAACGATCGGCCCCAATATTTTGGACATGATGCACATTAACGTATTCTCAATCGGCGCTCGCTACAGTTTCAATGGCTTTGTGTCTGTAAAATGCCAAATATTGAGTTGATCATTTGAATGTTTGCGGGGGGTTGAAGTGGGCATAAGCACAAATGTGCATTTACATTTTGGTGAGGATTGCTGACAATTTTCAGATATTTTCTAGACTTGTATTGAGCGTTTTAAACTTTTCCGAGGAAAGTTTTGAAACTGTGACTCACCCTTCAGTCAAAGTCTCTGCCCCCATTGCATAATATTTCTCACAGGAATGAAATATTTGTAACCAGTGGAAAATATCCGTCTCGATCAATTCATCTTTGGAATTCGACACACAAGGCACCTGCACTACGTTCAAGTGGTTACCCCCATTCCGCCCCCCCCCCCGCCCCCAAAAAGGCACTTGAGCTCGAGTTGACCTCACGTCCGCGCGTCTTCCAAAGGCACAAGTCGAACGCAGGCGTGTCGCCAAAGTGTGACAAAAGTGAAGTCTTACCTGCGCGGCGTGCGTGCGTCCACTTTTCCCCAAACGTCCTCTGCTCGGGGCCCGCGGGCACGCGCAGCTCGACGGGCTGAACGCTCATACCCGCGAGACAGCCGCGCGCCGAGGCTTTCGAGTCACTCGTTCGCCACGTGGACAGCCCCGAGGGACCAATCAGGAGAGACCCGTGGCCGAGTGATCGTGACGTCACGCCACCTGCTTCCCGAAGAGGGCACGCGCGTGGGTCAAAGGTGAAAAGAAAAGAAAAGTTCGCATGGACGTTTGGTGGCCACTAAAATAGGAACATTCAGCTACGGTTGTCAAGGTGCGCTACCCCCATGATCAGCTCAGAAGAAAGGTGTGAAGAAGATCATTTGAATCAGGTCTAAAACTTGCAGGACATTGACCTTTGGGAGACTAAGTCTGGACACCCCTGCACTAAAAGGACAGAAAATGTCCCCCATGTGCATTGGAACCGCCTTTGAAATTCAGTGGCATCAAATGCCAAGAGTTCCGTCGAAAAGGTCTCAGAAGAGAGCAGAGCGTTTGAATGGGGGACAGAAGAAATCGACTGGTGAAATACTGGCACAGTTGTTGAGTTTGTTGTGCAGACGAGCGGTCAATATTTGCGCGCGGGTTGAAGTTCAAGAGAAGAAGGTCCACATGTCGTCCAGCCACGCCGTCCTTGAACGCAGCGCCCACCCAGCTGCTCAAAATAGTCACAGGTGTCAATCATTAGTCAAAGCCTGATCAAGTCATGTGGGCGTATGCAAATTAAAAGACGCTGGCCTGGCCACGCCAGCACACTGTCAAATGTCACTTTTCGACTGCATAGCAACGGTAACTCACTGTAATTTGCCAAAGTATCTTACTGCAGCTAAAATTTGCAGTATAATTTTTTGGGGGGTATTTTGATGGTATTAAAAAAAAAAAAAAGAAGCAATATTTGAAATTCTTCAATTCTAAATAGGAGCCTCACCCACATTTTCGTTTGTTTTTTTCTCCTCTAACATCTACATTTTTGACCACCTCAAAACTGTTTATCTGATCAGGCCTCTCTGCTGCATGACAAGTCATGAGGCCAGTTGGAAAAGTTGCAAGCAGACTAAAGAGTTCTGTTTCCACTCAGGAGAAGTTGGCTGTGTGCTGGGTGTCAAAGGGAATTTCTGCAATGAGCAGACTCAATGGCAGCCTCACTTGCGCCAACAATTGTGCACTACATGAACATATTGAAATCATACTAAGCAAATGTAGGAGGATCTCTTTTGTTTTTCTTCCGCAGGGTGCCAAGTCCAAGTTTTTGCAACCTTGTCTTTGCATGTTTCATCATTGAGAATGTAGTTATAAATCTTCTCTGACAAGAATGAAATGGAAAACCAACAGAAAAACCCCACTGCAAAATGCAAGCCTAACCTGAAAAAAATTAATAAAAACATCAGACCTTGTCAGTAGTCGTGGTAACGTAAGAAGGCTGTCCTCTGGCTTCTGTTGCGAGGTGGATGTTCAGGCCGAAGCAATCGAGCGGGACACTCAATGGGACTCAGTGCGCACGCGCGTCAAAGGCGCTCCTCCTTTCGTTTGCTTGGCTTGCGCGCTTCCCGACGCAAACATCAGGAAGTCGTCGATTTCATCAGGCGCCGGACCCCCGTGGGCCCCCCGGAACTCCAGCTGACCTCCGGCCCGGCCCGCCAATCGGCGGCGTCAAATTTCGGCGAGACGCGCGGACCCACGGCTAGCGCGGCTAGCTCCTCGGCTAGCCCGGCTAGCTCCTCGGCTAGCCCGGGCGTCCTCTCCCGAGTTGTCTTGATTTCTTTAGGTGCAAAATGTCCGCCAAAGAGTACAAAGTGTCCACCACGGAACGGCCCATTAAAGGTGACCGCTGCATGATTCCTTTTCGTCTTCTGCGACGGGTTTGTTCTTATAGCCTAGCTGCTAGCTGGACTCTACGCCCATTTTAGGCGCAATGTGATGACGTCACCGTCATCTCTTGGCACGCCTCACTCACTTGTATCGATACAGTAGCTGAAATTAATAGACATCCACGGAAGCGTTTAGTTTCATGTTATAATGTGAGAAATTTCTATTATTGTAATATTCTTTTAAGTTCATCAACACTAAGAATGTGAATTTTCATGTTGTCATCTGCATGGCTTTTACTGGGGTTGTAATTTTTTGCCGCCCTACACTATTAGTATGAGGTGGTACTCCTGGCAGCTAGCGAACATATGTGTGTGTGTGTGTGCATGCGCACACAGCGGTGCCGTACCCTCCGGGGGCCCGTCTGTCTGTGTCTGAGCTGTACGTGGACGAGCGCCCCAGCGTGGAGGTCCTGAAGGCGCACCTGCTGAAGGAAGGCCGGCTGGAGGAGGAAGCGGCCCTCCGCATCATTAACGAGGGCGCCGCTATCCTGCGCCAAGAGAAGTGCATGCTGGACGTGGATGCACCTGTCACAGGTACGGGCACGCCCATAACGTACAACACTGCACATTGATGCTAGTTGTTATTATTTTAGTCAGTGGATGTTATGATGTATGGGTGTCATTAAAAGTTTGGAAAAAGTTAAGCATGTGGGAAAAAAAAAAACCTCGCAGTCTGGGCCCGCATGTTGTAATGAAGGGCATGTGTTCAGTGTGCGGCGACGTGCATGGACAGTTCTTTGACCTGATGAAGCTTTTCGAGGTGGGCGGCTCCCCCAGCAGCACCCGGTATCTGTTCCTGGGTGACTACGTGGACAGGGGCTACTTTAGCATCGAGGTAAGCGCTAAACAGCCCGCGCCAGCACACACGCACTTCCTGTCAAGTGACAGCGGGGCTTGTCTTCCCAGTGCGTCCTGTTCCTGTGGGCTCTGAAGATTAACCACCCGGACACGCTGTTCCTGCTCAGGGGAAACCACGAGTGTCGGCACCTCACTGAGTATTTCACCTTTAAACACGAGTGTGAGTTTTGAATTCCGTCAAAATCCGTCCGACGTTATGACGTCAACTCCACTAACCTTAGTCGTGTTCTCCCCGCACGTGCGCACAGGCAAGATGAAGTACTCGGATCGCGTGTATGAGGCGTGCATGGACTCTTTTGACTGCCTCCCTCTGGCAGCGCTGCTCAACCAGCAGTTTTTGTGCGTCCATGGGGGCCTGAGTCCCGAGATCAGCAGTCTGGACGACATCCGCAAGGTCAGCGCGCCGCATGCGACCCCCGCCTACGGCCCGGCCGCCTCCCCTAACGTACGCCCGCTCCTTTGCGTGTAGCTGGAGCGCTTCAAGGAACCCCCGGCCTTCGGGCCCATGTGTGACCTGTTGTGGTCCGACCCCGGCGAGGACTACGGCTCCGAGAAGAACCAGGACCACTTCAGCCACAACAGCGTGAGGGGCTGCTCCTACTTCTACAGGTAGCGTAGCGGGCACTGATAGTGAGACTCCACGCCGCAAGTTCGCGGAGCCTCATTTCACTTTTGTGTGTAGCTACGCCGCCGTCTGTGACTTCCTGATGAACAACAACTTGCTGTCGATCATACGGGCGCACGAGGCACAGGATGCTGGGTAAGGACGCAAAAGAATCAACATGGCCGACTCTCCATGTGTATGTTCACGTGTGCATGCGCGTGTGTGCGTCAGTTACCGCATGTACAGGAAGAGTCAGACGACGGGCTTCCCCTCCCTCATCACCATCTTCTCTGCTCCAAACTACTTGGACGTGTACAACAACAAAGGTAAACTTGACAGACCCCCGAAAAAAGATTTTTTCATCTTTGTATTTTTCCTCATAATCAGCCGATTAATCAGTCATCTGACTTTTTTTTTTTTTTTACCCCCTCCTGCTCAATATCGGTCGGGCCATAGCGGCGGTGTTGAAGTACGAGAACAACGTGATGAACATCCGTCAGTTCAACTGCTCGCCGCATCCTTACTGGCTGCCCAACTTCATGGATGTCTTCACGTGGTCGCTGCCCTTCGTTGGAGAGAAAGGTCAGATCGCGTCGCGACCGAGCGTGACACGCGTCGCGTCACCGTTGACAATCTTGTCAGATGAGCTCGTATCAAAGCGCATATCAGGTCGGATTGCGTCACCGCTGACTACCTCCCCGCCGACACCCGTGCTGTTTGCGCAGTGACAGAGATGCTGGTCAACGTGTTAAATATCTGCTCCGACGACGAGCTCATGACCGACGCCGACGACCCGGGAGAAGGTGACTTTTGGAACTCCTAGTGACCTCTGAACCGCGGCCGCCTTTAAACTTAAGAGCACATACACTTCCTGTTGCAGGCGGAGCCCCCGCTGTCCGGAAAGAAGTCATCAGGAACAAGATCCGGGCCATCGGGAAGATGGCCCGAGTGTTCTCCGTGCTCAGGTAAGTCTGTTGAAAAAGAATGGCGGCAACGCTAGCTCGCGCCTGATTAGCTTCTCCCCTTGACGTGCGAATTTTTGGTTCAACTTAAATCCAGCTCCTGCTACTGGTGGATGTGCGCTAATATTAGCATTAGTTTGCGCTAAACTAGCCAAGCGCTAATTGTCATTTGTGCCCATTTATCTCAGTTAATGTCACTTATATCCCTTTGGCGTATTCGATAAGCGTATTAGCGTCCAATTTGAAAGGACAATTGTTTGTTTTTTTTGTCATTCTCATTCCTGGTGTAGAGAGGAGAATGAGAGCGTGCTGCAGCTGAAAGGGTTAACGCCGTCTGGAACGTTGCCGCTCGGCGTGTTGTCGGGAGGACGGCGCACGCTGCAGAGCGGTGAGACTTAGTTCGCCTATCGCACTTAACAGCACGTCGGCGTCGTCGGCCATATTTTCTTCACCGAGCGCGCCTAACCTTGGACTTGTCTTTCTTTCCGCAGCCACGGAAGAGGCGGAGGAAGCTCGAGGTAAGCGCGCCACAACTTTTGGATTGTCCGTCGACGGTAGCAAATGGCGAGAAAGCCACCAAATTGCAACAGCGGGATCGGTTACCTGACGCGGGCGTGTCTGCCGGCAGGTGGTGACGACTTCAAGCCACCTCACAGGATCCAAAGTTTCGAGGAGGCGCGAGGCCTGGACCGCATCAATGAGAGGATGCCGCCGAGACGAGACACCCCGCCGCGCAGCGACAATGGAACGGACGAGGCCTAGCCCCTCACCCTGGCTTCCTGTCCTCTCTTCCTCTTTCTCATCGACACCCGGACGGTGCTGGTGGACTTTTGTTTTTGTTTGCACGACGCGACGCAGGGGCGGGGTTTACATCCTCAATAAACAAGGCAAAATTACTTCTTGTGTTGACTTTTATTCATATGATGACATCATCTTTACCTGATGACATCACAGCTTCGACATGCGGCCCATCATCTTCTCCAGCTTCAGGGCGAGCCCCATGTCGCCTTTGATGCGAAGTTTCCCAGACATGAAGGCCAGGGTCGGCTTCAGCTTCCCTGCGTGCATGTGGGAACATGTTACCATGGAAACTGGTCAGTCAACCTTAGCAACTTCTAACCGCGTAAACCGATTGCCCTGGAAACTGGCGGACTGCGACAAATGCATTACCGCAGGAATAGGTTACGACAGGAACACAGTCGCTCCAATGGGAACATGTTACAGTAGCATGTTACCACGGAAACCGGTTAACACAGTAGCCGCACAATATTGTTACCACATGAAGACACTACCGTGGAACAAGTATTACCACCGAGAGGACAAACAAAGCTGCACACTGCCCACATTTTATCTGTGGAGGACACCTGACCATGCTGAAGTGTTGCCATGGAAACCCTTACCTGTAAACATTTTGCTGAAGTCGGCCGAGTCCATGGTCATGACGACGTCGGGCTTGGCGTGCGGCTGGCCCCGCCCTGTACTGCCCGCGCCGCTCTTCAAGTCCAGGAACCAAACACCCGCGTGTTCTCCTGTCCGGTAAAAAAAACAGAATAAACAGGTGAGAGACACCCTCTTGTTGTACAGGTGATGGCGTCCGACCTTGAGCTCACCCGAAAGGTCAAACTGGTAGAGCGCCTTCGTGGAGTTGACCAGATCTTCATTGAGGACGCCTCTGATCACTTCAAACGTGCTTTCGATGGGGCCGCCGGGAGAAGGCGTGGCCGACGAGGATGGCGGCTTGAAGGCGGGCGTCGCCCCTTGCAACAAAATGCTCGGTCAGCTGTCAATCATCAAACCGGGAGGGGGTCGGCGAGGCTGCTACCCATTGCGGGAAAAGTTTTACCGTGTTGTTCCATCTGCTGGGCCAGCACCTCGGGGGCTTCGTCCAGGAAGAAGTCGGGCAGAAGCGGGTGACCTGCGGACCAATCAGAGAGCAGCGTGAGACTGCCGCATGCCAATCTACGTGCCTGCGTGTGAGCGTGTGACCTGGCTGGACAGCGTACTGATCCATGTCTTGCACCCCTTCCTCCCTCAGAATGTCCTCGTCCACCACAAAGTGGCCCGTGAAGGTTTTGGGCCGCGTCAAGATGGCGTAGGCGGCGTCCGCCATAATGTCCACCGTACGACACTGCTTGGCCACGCCCGCGCCACCCAACATATCCATGGCTGCCGTCTGGATCGCTACGGCGACAAAATACCGGCTCCTGTTAGCGTATGAGCACATGGCTCGGTAACGCTGAGCGCGGGTCACTCACCGGTTCTTGGCCAAAGGGCGTTGACGGCGATCTGACCTCTGAACTCTTCCGCCATCCCCAGGACGCACATGGACATGCCGTACTTGGCCATGGTGTACGCTGAAAGCGACGTGCGTGCATGTGACATCATCAGGCTGCGCGTCATGCTTGTTGTATGGCTTCTTGTGTCTGTTGCTATGGTTACACATGTCATTTGTAACGTTGCCTCTGCAAGGTTTCCTCTGACCGTGATGGCCTGCATGTCAGCTGCGACGCTTACCCATGTGTTGGCAGGTTGGTTGCCATGGTTACCTGAGTTTATTTAGCTCACCTAACCTGTGTATCAGACGAAGGGTACCAGTATTGGTTGTCGTTGGTTACCTGTGTGGTTCTTGAACCAGATGGGATTGAGGTTGAGAGGCGGCGACAAGTTGAGGATGTGGGCGGACGAACTCTTGAGCAGGTGAGGAATGACCATCTTGGACCTACCAAACGCACACATAAATGCACACTCGTTATGCCCTGCTGTGCGTTAACGAGCACGCATGCGCGCCAAGGTTCATATGGTTAATGGAAAAAAAACCTAATAATAATGAAAAACCATTTTCATTCAGAAAATAGGATTAAAACGAGTGTTTACAAAAAAACACTAAGAACCCCCCCCACTAATAATAAAAACAAAAGAAAAATAAACAGCTTTTTTTTTAAACTAAAATTAAAAAGTAATGGACCGCTCAATTAAAAAAAAACAAGACTCCAGTTGTAATTTAAAAAAAAAATAAAATAAAAAGTAAATGGAAATCTCTCAAACTGTTGCAACGGTGGTACGTGCGTGTTGGTTCGTACGTCATGTATGTTCCTCTCAGGTTGATTCCCAGCATGAGGTCCACCTTCTTCATGGACGTTTCCAAAGTTCCCGTCAGGTTGATGGCGCTGGCGTTGTTCACCAAGATGTCGATGCCTGGTGATGGCGATGATGGTGTTGATAATCACTTTCTATCCACTATTGGTCTAGATTGTGAGTTGGCCATTTTGTAAAAGTCCCTGTTCACTGCTTTCCCGGTATTCGATTCATCACTTCAGCTGGACAGTAAGTCAACAATCTCAAAAATCCCAATGAACAAATTTCAAAACACCGCAACGGGATGTTCAGTCAACTTTGGAAGAAATGTCGAGAAAGTAGAAAACAATGCCAACCTCCAAACTTGGCGACGGCTTTCTGAACGGCGTCTTCAACTTGTTTCTCGTCTCGGATGTCCACCACGCACGGCAGAGCTTTCCCGCCCGCATCCTCCACTGGAAGAGCAAAAAAAGCCAAAGGTCATATTGGAGCGTGAGCACATTAGCGCACACGCACGCACGCACCCTCCTGCGCGGCGGTGTAGATAGTGCCAGGGAGCTTCGGGTGAGCTTGCGCTGTCTTGGCGGCGATGACCACGTTGGCGCCGTCTCTGGCGGCTTTCAGGGCGATGGACTTGCCGATGCCGCGGCTGGCGCCCGTGATGAACAGGGTGAGGCCTGCCAACTTCCTGCGCCGTGCAGAAAAACAAACATAACCATAAATTGTCATCCTTTCTCAACATATTGACAACATTTAGGCACACTTTCTTTTTTCAAGCTCTTTCCAGTCACATTGATTTATTTCGAGAAGAAAAGCTAATTTTTGAATCTGGATTTAAATGCATTTAAACTTGGGGGTGACTTCACTTTTGTTGACAGCATAACAGCTCAATGTAGCTTCACCGTGTTTACTTTGAACTCTGGGCGCCACTAATTGAGTCTGCAGACGTCAGAGCCCTATTGGCTTCATTTTCAATAAGAATTTCTTGAATGTAAATATGCTGAATTTATTTTGTGTCCCATACCTACTATATGTGCCCTGGCATTGTATGGCTGCTAGTCAATTGTTGGTCTGTGTGCCCTGACGGTGGCTGGCGACCAGTCCAATGACGTAACTAAAATGTGACAGACCCCACCTGAGCCTAATGAGGACCAACCAAACGCTAACAAGGCTAACCTAATGACTCGATGCTAACGATTAGCACAGGCAAAAAAATAATTTCCCTTGCAATGAAACATGCATTACCGAAGAAGTGATTTTTTTTTTTCGTTTTAATGAGGAGTCATCAAAGAGGCTGTTGGCGAACTCACCCGCTGTTTGGAAGCATGACCACTCCGAAGAAAACAACCGCGGCAACAATAAAACAAAACAAATGGAAAAGGGGGTAAAAAAGGCACTTGAGTTGTCGTCCACCTTTCACCCACTGAAGGAAACCGGAAGACCCTCCCCAACGACCGAGCTCTTCTTCCGGTCCACTGCCAAAGATCCTCGCGAGCCGTTAAGTCGTTACACACGTTTGCGAACAAATCAAAACTTTTTACAAAATGCAACGAAACAATGGGAATAAAGGCATCTACGGTTTCTATCGGATTTTAATTTCCCGCCTCTCGTTTGTGACGTTGTGAGTTCAAATCCCTCCTGCGGCCTTTCTGTGTCAAGTGTAATCGCACAATCCAAAAACATATTAGCATAGCATTATAGGTTCACGGAATATCCAAATGTCGACAAACGAGACCGGCTGGCGAAGCACGCTCGCACAAAAAAACAGAAGAGTGCCATTTTCAAAGATAAAACTTTATTGTTGTGTGAATAAAATGTTGCAGTCTGATTGGTCGATGAGCTGAAACGTGAAAGGTCTGATTGGACGACAGCCTCGCAGGTTCATCCGACATCACGAGCGATGTCATCACCGAAGCCTGCGGGCAATGCTAATTGCTAATTCTATGCTAAGAGTCAACACTAAAGTGAGGTTGAGTGCGTTGTGAAATTCACTGTGCTGCTCTAACAGCACTCCGAAAGTATGTGCGTGAGTGTGTGCGAACGCAGCTTGTGTTCTAAAGCAGGGGTGTCCAAACTTTCTCGTTTGAGGGCCACAAACAAACATATAAAGATCCAAGAGCCACCTTAATTGATTAAGCTGGCCAAAGTCCATCATGCAAGCAATTCTATATCATTTTCAAGTTAATTTGAGAAAATGTTACCTCGTATTTTTCTGTTAAAAACGTTTTTTGGTTTGAAATTTGAATGATCTTTCCTCACCACATTTTGTGAGGTCGTTTCAGTGACAAAAGAAAAACTGAACAAATACTTTTATTTGTATCTTTGCATACCTAGAAAACCGTAGTGTATATAAACCACTTTATTAGTGGTAATGATACCCATTTTTTTCAACACCCTTTCTTCTCAAGCTTACCATCTTGAAAGAATTTATTTATTTAAACTAGCCTGATGGATCGTGTCAAATATAATTTTTAGTGTATGCTGTGGGCCACTGAAAAATGGATAGCGGGCTGCAAATGGCCTCGCAGCGGTAGTTTGGACACCCCTGTTCTAAACCAATCTGCAGCTTGTGCTTGAACTGTTTCTGTCAGCGTGGCTCAATGTGCTGGGTGAACAGTGTCCCTTCCAAGCTGTGTTTTGGGGCTTTTTGTCTTTACTGGACAGGACAACCCGAAGAAGAGCCAGAAAACGGGAGGGGGGGAATGCAAGAAAAGAGCCACGATTCGAAACGGGCTCACCTTCAACAAGGACTACTGCCTCAACACCCTGCTTAAAAAAAAAAAAAAAAAAAAAAAACAGCATAGACCAGCATGATTTTGTTTTGGTGCCAGTCTTGCTACTGTCACCAATTACCAGCACGGCAACAACAGCATGTTGGACTTGCTGCGTGGCTTTGGCTCAGCTGGTAGAGCGGGTAGCTCATGACCGAAGGGTCAGGTGTTTGAATCTGGCTGTTTAGTTTTTGCTCTTCCAGGTGCATAAAAACACAACCAAACCTTGGTAGTCTGGTTGATTGTTTTTTTTTGGGGGGCACCTGGGCATGTGCACTACCCGCTGAGCTAAACATCACCCCAGGCACTCCTTTTTTGGGAGCAGTGTGAATAACCAAAGAGCACATTTAAACAACGCTGTGAGTTTACGAACGGTCGGAGTGAAGCAGTGTGCGCTCAGAGAGTATTTCTCAACGCATTTGGTGTTGCGGAAAACTCTATATTGCTGGCTGACAAGCGCGCACTTGTTAGTTGACATGAAATGATATGACATAACACTGAGGCGGTCACAAGAAACAGACATTTTGTCACGTGCACGCTCATAACACTGTTTGATGTCGTCGTCG